GAGAGGAATATATTATTATGTGTATATGTTTGTGCAGAAAAACAGAATATATGCAAGATACTAAATCCAGATACCGTTGTGGTAGGTCACAGGCATGGGGTAAATAAATTCGAAGTCAATGTATAGAATATGGGATAGGTTAGGTCTGATTTATTTTACTAGGTCAGTAACATCGTTAAAAATTATGAAATTATATGAAATATATATGAGAATATTTGGTGATTTACATAATTTATTAAATATGTTGATATATGTTATAGGAGAAGCATTTGGAATATTGTACAACCTTTGCGCAATCATAAAGATAATTCATAAATTAATGTGCTATCTTAATTTTTAATTTAAAAATACAATTTTTTTTCCTGTAAAAAATCATAGAAAAATAATCTAATTCAAATTAAACCTTAAAGGAATCATAAATATTCATTTTTAGCCATCTGGTTCAAGAAGAAATATTCCATATATAACTATTTTATATCTAATTAGAAACATAGATGAAAAGAAAAGACTTTTCTTAAATTCGAAGTAGAAAATAAAAATTTATCGGTTTAAATATAATAATTTCAGTCGTTTTATTATTCATAATTATGTGTATTAGGTAAATTTTGAATTTTATTTTTAAACTTAAAAACGTACTTCAAATCTTGTATAAAATGAAATGACTTAACTTTATATTATTTCATTTTTAAATTATTTTTTTTTGTAAAATTTAACCCTGTCCTGGGGTTGACATTGAAAGCACCTTCGCAGGTCAAGAATATGTGAAAGGAACCTTATATTAAATAAAATAATAAAAAATATTTAAGAATATAAGATGTGGACGAGCAAAATAAAAATAAAGCTTTTTCGTATGCAGGATCGTGAAATTATCAATCTACTGCTTAAATTTATACATATATGGACATGTTTGTATATGCGCGAAAAACCAATTCAAAATTTTGACAAAAGAAAAAATTTTAAAACCAAAAATTATAAATTTGTTATAGTACAATTATATGTCATTTTTAAATATATTTTTGATGACAGAGAAAATATATACCGTTTTACTAGAGAACATATTGAAAATCTTATGCATCTATGTATGAATAGATTAATTAGATTTATTAGGGAAAAAAAGCTCATTTGGCAAATAGAAAGTAACTTATCAGGATAAAATAATTTTTGCCAATGTGACTGAAAATGTGGATTTTTGATACAAATTCTAACACAACAAATATGTATATATAATATATATATATATATATATATATATATGTATATATATATATATATATCGTGTGTATATTATTTTTATTATTAAAATAAAATTTGTATTGGTTCGTAAATATTTTTTGCAAAATATTCCACCATTCATTATTCATTCAAAACATGAATGAATGGCGCCAGATCTGACAATAAACGAGCTAGGTCCTAGGTCAACAACGCACATGTATTGTTCAATAATCTTGCATTAGATCACAACAGATTTTCATTCATGGCTTTTTTGTACTAATATTAGATTTGTCATCATAAATGTCAAGGATAAACTGTGCAGTTTCCTAGTTGAATGCAAATTCCATACCAAAATTGAACAATAATTGGTGTAACTATTACAGAAAAACAGCTCTATTAGAAAATATTCTATCAAAGCAGTTCTTAAAATTTAACTTAATTAAAAAAATAATTCGAAGAAAAATTCCTGAAATAGATTATTTTTAATAATTACTGGTATATTATTTATATCAATTAAAAATGAATTTATCAAATTTTTATAATATGTATTTATTTATATTGTAGATTTGTTTACATCCTGGAAAAAATAAATGCGTAATAATTATTAACTTAACAATTTTGTTATTCTGTTTATTACGTATGCAAAATTCTTTAGAAGAGTAAATGACTCATTTGGAATTATAAACAAATATCTTAAGGCAAAATACTTTAACTCAACTTGATTTAATTCAATAATTTAAATCTCAATAAAATACAATTTTCTATGCTCGTAATTATAATTGAACTAATTATATATAATATATAATTGTAATTGAACCAAAAAATTTTATAAAGTATATAAATATACTACTATATTACTTATAGACATATTTTTAATACTTAAAAACTAACGTAGAAGTACAATAAAATTATGATAAAATATTTTTAAAAATCTGACGCAATTTTTCATATCATAGTGATACTATTTTAGTATAATGATTAATTCATTAAATTATATTTTAACTAGAAACTTTTGAATATTTCTATTAAATAGTTATCCAATTCTATTTCATGAATAAAATCTGTGGGTCATCTGAACTACAGATTGAAATCATAACGTAGCAACATCATTTGCGTTTGAAAATTCTAAATTTAGCTTCAGAAAACTATATTTTACACAGGAAATAATGCATTATTTATACCATTTATTATAATATTTAGATGTTTAGAAGTGGACGTATTAAGGAAAAATTTAAAAAAATCAAAAAAAAAATTTTTTAATTCTAATACTAAAGTGATAAGAAGGTTCAAATTTTTGATTTCTAATGATTGATTTTTTTAATGAACATTTAATTTGTTAGATTTAATTAAAATTTCTTGTTAATCGCATTTTTTTCATAAAGTAATGTTTGAGTAATAAATAATAGTGATCAATTAAATTTGAATCAGGTTAATAAAAATTTTGTACAATAATATACAAATAATACTAGTACAATAAAAATAATTGCTTATTAATATTTATAAAAGAATAGTAAAATATATTATTAATAAATTAAAAATACATAAAAAAATGTGAAAACCAGTACTGAAAGCTATAAATATTAATGAAAAAAAAAGCTATTTTATAATTATCCATTTTGTATTATTTTATATAGTTTTTAATATTGTACTAAAAATGAATCAAATGTAAACTCGAAACGTTTGGTAGATAAAGTAAGTTTTAAAAATGAATTTCGAATAATATGTTGTAAAAAATCAAAGTTTAAAAACCAAAGTTTATAGAGAGATGATTTTAACAATTATTACACAAATTTTTACTTTATATACTATTTTTGGGATCCAAAATTCCTTCTTACCGACATCTTCATCTAAAATTACAAAGTCTTGGCAGTTTAATATATTTTTCTTTTAAATTACTTCGTAAATCGAAAAAAATGAAGGAATAAGTTTCCTTCACTGATTAGTGTTCAGTCTTATAATTGATTTTTTCATTAATTAGACAGATACATGTATACATACTGCATACATACACACTACAAATACTAATACTACACACTACTAATACTGATACTACACACTACTAATACTAATACTATTCTATACATACTACAAGTAAGCCACAAATTTTTCAAAAACATAATTATTTAATTTTTTATTATTTTATTAACATATTGATACTACACACTGCTACATACTGCATACATACATGCTACTAATACTGATCCTACACACTACTACATGATACTACAAATTTTTCCAGAACATAATAATTTAATTTTTTGTTTTAAATTATTTCTACGTTTTGAAGTAGTGAGTATGTGGGTTTCATCTCTTTGTTCAGAATTTTTCCAGTATTGAAATTTATATATTTTTTTAAATAAGCCCTGATTAAAAGGTGATAAAATCTATTCATCAATAAAATCATAATCTGTTTATTATCAATTTATTTTTGATATTAATATAATATCGTGTATCAATTATTATTGTGGGCCATCTCTCCTGGTCTGGTTCTGCTCCGATCAGCAGAGGGACCAAAGATCGTACCTATGTTGGGGTCTCGGACAAATTTTAGGTGGGGCCTATATAACAACCACAAACCAAAGGCAACGTAACACAACTCAAGAAACTCAGGTGTCGAATATACTTACTTATCATCGAACATTTATTTTAACTTTATACGTGCAAACGGTAGTGTTAACTAGTGCTACGAAATAGAAATTTGGGGAAAAAATTAATTGAAATTTAGAGCTTTTGGGGAGTTGAGAAATAGATTTTTGCGAGCTTTGGGTAAACCATTGACGCAGGACTTGTGTTTATTAAATTGAATTTATAAAAACTATAATATTTTTAAATTACGATTCATTTTAAAAAATAATATGAAAATATAAATATAAAAAACATTTTTAAAGAAATTTACCTGATAGTCTTGAGGTGCTTAATTATATTTTTGCAAATTGAAAAACATTATTGTTTGAACATTCTGTTAACATAATTAATGTCATTATGTTGATAATAAAATTTAATGGTATTAAATTTTAAAATAATTTATAAAAATTAAAAAAGTTTATGTAATAATAATAATAAGTATAATAGTCATTAAACTTAAGGTGCATAAAAAGCAGATTTATTTTTATAATTGTTAAGTACTGTTATATAAAATTGTATAAAAAAATATTTTAAATTTATAATGAATATTTAAATCATTGAATGCAGGTGCTTAAATTCTCTTAAAAGATATTGATTGACTACGCAAAATTAATTACATTTACTTTAAAGGAGTATTTTTTAGTAAATGTGAAAAAAAATATTCAAAAAGACTAATTTGTTCTATATTTATAAATAACAGCAAAAACAAGAGTAAAAATTGCACTTTTCTTATATAATTAAAAGGAGTTTATGAATATTCAAAAGAATTAATATAAATAATATAAGTAAAAACTGCAGATAATGAAAATATAAGTGTTTTGATATTGAAATAATTCACATTGTTTTTAACATATAATATTCGATATTTTTACTTAAAAGTATTAAATAAAAATTATCAATCAAATAAAAAATTACTTAAAAGTATAAAATATATTTAACATATTTATTTACAAGTATTTAAATAATTTTTAATTATATAATTATCAATAAAGATAATTTTAAAATAATAGTTGAAATTTCTTCATAAGCTAAAAGATAATTCAGAGGATTTTTTTATCAATATAAATTATGTTACTTATATCTGTACTAGGTACATCTGGAACTTCAAATAATTAAATTAATTAAACTAGAACCATTTTAACCAAAAGTTCAAAGTTTAAAGTGTATCAAAAGAGAAAACTACATTCAACAATCAACATTCAACACTCAACACTCAACAAAACTCTTTAGAAACTACCACAAATTTCCTTATTTTCAAAATAATAATTCATATATCATTTACCATGATTGAGGCAGATTTATACAGCAGATCCAACATCTCGCAAAGACGAGACGCCAAAGAGATCATCAAAGAATTCGCCCCAAGAATTCATTGGAGCCTGAATGGTCGTGATACTTTACTTGACATAGGATGTGGTACAGGAGATGTCACTGTAGATTTTGTGGTTCCTATAATGCCAAAAGACTACGAAAGAATAGTTGGGGGCGATTTATCTACCGAAATGATTGAATATGCAAAAAGGCGCTACGCTGCGATGCCCAGGTTGGAGTTCAGGACGATGGACGTGGGCAAGGATGCCCTTTGCAAGCAGATCAGGGAGAGGTTCCATCATGTGACTTCGTTTTATTGTTTGCATTGGGTGCAGAATCAAAAGTAAGATGAAAAAATTATTAACTAGTTGAAAATTGCATGAACTTCCCGCTTAAAAAATCAGATTTCATATTCAGCTAATGTTCAACTGGCAATTTAAAAATAATTTATTGGCTTTTACTAAAAAATGTTTTTCAAACATTTGAAATTGCATAAATTATATTAATTCGTTTAACACATTTTACTTTATCCGTATGAACGTAAACTGTAATCAGTAGCTACCTACGAAACACTACCGAGAACTTACGTATACTTACATAGACATAGATTCTGACTAGAATCACTTACGCAGCGAAATCCTAAACTTCGATAAATTTTTATTGTGCGACCTCTTATCGTTGCCTTATATTATAAAAAAAATATTTTAAATATTATACTTAAGTGTGGACATTAACTGTAATCAGTAGCTACTTATGAAACACCACAAAGAACGTCCATATGAATTTAAATGCCGTATAATTTTGAGATTATGATTTTGTGTTTCTATCATTTTTATACTCTAAAATTTTACTCCTGCAGACTTGTGAACAACATTCTCTCTTAATATATATATAATAATTATCCTAATAACAATAAAAGAACTTATAGAAATTATTATTTCTCTTACATCAGGAAGATATTTATTATCCAATGATCTTGAAACGACGCATCAATGGCCGTGTTGGTATTGAAGAGATTCAACTCTTATTAGATAAATCAATAAAAACAATAAAACTATGCCACTGACCTAGCACAAAACCCGAAGGCAGAGGCCACGATTTCATAATCTATATCAACTTTAAATTTATAAGAGAATTAATAACTCTTTTAAACTTGATTCATGTGATTTAATTATAACTTTCCACTCATAAGTAGTATAACAAATTATTTCAATTTTTGCATAAGTGATTTCCGATCTTGGGCGTAAATGACAATGAAGAAAATAATCAAGGTTGAGATACTCAATGATAAATTTTATTTCTTTAAGTTAAATTGTGTTTTTCAAATTTTAATATTACAACATTGTCAAATTTTAATAAGAATAATATTTATACTTTCTAAGTACCAAAAAGTTATGCATAATTTTTATGTGGTTTGTGAAGATTCCTGCGTTAGTACCAGTTCTGGAATTTCTTCTCCCAGGGAAGATTCAGCATTATGGTCATATCTTTCCACTGTAAGAAGTAAAGTATAATCTCCAACAATCTCTCCATCTGGATCAGTCTCTGTACCAACACTTTGGGTTTCTACAACCCGATTTTCCATTTCCATTCTGACAACCTCATTAGCTGATGCGATTACATTTCTAGCCCTCTCGACTTGTTGTTCCATATATAGACGACTCTGATGTCTTCTCCGAGTTTCGTGCTCAACTGCTGGAATTTCATAATGGTGAAAAAAGTAAACCATTGAGTGTTCAATAAATAACCAGGATGCGGAGTAAGCCAAGTTGTTATACTGTCCATGAAACTTGTAATGATAAGCGTAGAAGAGGAAGTGGTACATGTAGAAGAATCTAACCCAGTATCTTTTAGAAATTGTAGTGTTGCAACAAATGTTGTCGAATTGGTCAGCAATCCATATTACGACTATAACGAAAAAACTAAGTGTGGAATTTTTGAAAAAATCGTACAATATCAACTCCATCCCCAGAAGTGCAAGAATTGCTGAAATCATGATGGAAAAGGGTATCGTGATCGGTGTGTTGTATTCCAAAACGTGCAATACGTCAATCAAGATTACGAAAAGTTGATGTTGAATGAATCTCAACAAAATTGATATAACAGCAGTAAAAAATAACATTAACATTAAAGCTACCACGTAGGAAAAAGTTCCTCTCCACATTTTGTTGATCATAAAATATTCATCAGTGTTTGCATTTTTGATATAACCATTGGACCCATGGCTCCTTGCTACGTTTTTCAGGACGGACGTAAGGAAATCATCATATCCTAAATATTCTTCTATTAGGACACGTGACACAGTGCTTCCAAAACAATCGTCATTACTGGCATTGATAACAACACGTAGTATAGGGACATTGAATTTTTTTCGCAATTCATCGTTTAATCTCAACAATCCTTGCTCAATGGAATATTCGACTATGTGTTCACTTTTTAAGTTCTCTAGCAACAATTCGTTTATTATATTGGTCATATTTTGTAACACTTTATTAGTATTATTACGAAAGCATGTGGTTTTTAAACCATGCGGATTCAGAGTATATCTGCTCTTGATTTTTGATGGATTTTTCTTAGTTTGAAACACTTTCATACACAAATCAGACAATTTTAGGTCACTGTCAGTTTCTTGTACATAAGTTAAATCATCTGATAATTCCAATCGCAAAATACCAGTTTCTGGCCAATTTTTTACCACTGAATTCAAAGTTATTGCAGAATTTTTAGAGAATTGAAAGTGGATGTAAATGAGACTAAAGAAAGCCAAGAGAGCTTTTAGCAGAAGAAATATTTCTATTGTACGTCGCATAGTTTTTGGTATGGTTTTAGCGTACGTCATTGTTGCTCTCTGAAATATAGCTTGAAACAATCTGTCCCGCATATTAAATAAATATTCTCTATTATTATCAACATTTCTTGTTCGGTTTACACGATTTGCAATTGTTCTAGCTCGTCTTCGTCTATTACCTCGATGTGTACGCACAAGACCATGTCTTTCCAAGAAATTTTCATCAATGTCGTCCATCTTTCACTAACAATCTTTTACTGCGTAGTTTTTAGAAGTATCTTTTTTCAAATACATGAAATTTTAACCCAATGAGGAAAATATTTTAAATTATTAATAATTTATCAAGTTGATCGCATTTGTTATGTTTTTACTAATTGTGAAATGTCATTTACCAAATAAACAAATGAGTATTTTAACTTTTGACAATTATATTCGATATTTATTTTAAACCAAAACTAAGTCATTATACTGTAATTTTGAAATCATATGCAATATAGATTCTGTCAAAGATACTAATACGAAAATAATTTAACAAAGCCATTATTAATTGCTTAAGTGTTTTGTTTTTGATTTGTTTGGAAATTGAGCATCTAGTATGCAGGATAATTTTTAACACTTAAACAATTTTTTTTATAAATATTACTAATTTTATTTTAATGCTAATAACAATAATATATCTAACTATCGAATTGAATAAATAAAATCGATAAATCAACTTTTTTAAAATTGCAATATCAGTTACATCTCCTAAATAAAATTTGGTAACATTAGATAAAAATTAGAATAAATATATAATACAAAATGAAGGACAGTATATCCATTGAAATGATATCCTTATGATGATAATAAAATGAAATTTAAAATTACTATTATTTAAAATTATATAAAATTAAAATTTGTTACAAAAATATTAATGACTAATTAAAATATTCTTTACATTTTTAAGCATTTTTGATCAATTTGAAAAAAATAACAAATATGGCAATAGATATACATTATTTTATTTTATTAATTCATCAATTTTATCAATTCAATCAATTTAAAAAAAAAATTCAAAGAAATATTGAATAATGGTACTTTTAATGGTCACACTGTTCATTATTTGTGTTATTGTTTCTTGATTTAAAAATTATGCAAAAATACTGGCTATTTTGTTAACAGTTGTAACTAAAATTAAAATAAATAAAATATTTTAATTTTTCTTCTAGAAGGGCAGCTAAAAACATCTACGACCTCCTTCTTCCCGGAGGCGACTGCCTCTTGGTTTTCCTTGCCCGGAATCCAATCTTCGACGTTTACCGGAGAATGGCTTCAAATCCTCGATGGGCTCCTTATATGAAGGATGCTGATCGATTTGTTTCACCATATCAGGACATTGAAAATCCCCACAAATTATTAAAACAACATCTAACTGATGCTGGATTCGAACAAATCCATTGCGAGACAAGAGACAGGGTGTTTGTTTTCGATGGAATCGATATTTTAAGCGGTAAGTAGAATTATAAAAAAACTAAAATAGACACAGAATAAAACTAAAAGTAATCGCTAAAATGTTACTATGAAGTATTTTGATGATTATTATTATTTATTCCTGTTCAGAATCTGTACGAGCAGTGGATCCTTTCAAATCTCGAATTCCAATTCACCAACATAACGAATATTTTCATGATTATTTTGAAATAGTCAGAAAAATGGGGTTTGTTGGAAAAACTGATAAAAATAATAACGAGTTTAAAGAAGATGATAGTTTAGATGGCGACATCAAGATCTATTCGCCATATACTTTACTTATTGCTCATGCAAGAAAATCATCACAAATAATAAAATAAATATAAGTTAAATATAATAAGTAGTTAAATCGGTCGCCAAAGGGATAAACAAGAATTATTATAATAAATTATTTTTAGTGACGTTATTTAATGTACTTATAAGTGCGTTAGTTATTAGTTCTATAAGATTTATTAACAAATACTACACATTAATTAATTATTAAATAATTAATTATAGTATATAATATTGATTTAAAATTAAAAAAAAAATTAATAGTTTTCAAAATTAAATTTAAACAATATTAATTAAAATTTTCTAGTAAATTTTTTAATTAAATATATATGATATATTGAATAATATGAGCATTATAATCTAAAAATTTTAAGCTTAATATTTAATAATTTTGATTGAAATATCATATTTATATATGGTGTATACCACAAAACTTCGTATTATAAATCTAGTTTTTAATATAATTAGATTAAATTTCTAAGAAAGAAAAAGTACAAATATTTATTTATCAATTTTGCTCAAGGCTAATCTAAAATTTAAATAATATTTGTCATGACAAAATATTTATATATTAATAACTCTAATTTATTTTTAATTATGACCTAATATATATTTATCCTTACTACTAACAGTATAACTGTGTTCTAGTATATATTATATTTATACATATGAATAAATATGATATTGTATGTTTTATTTATATATTTTTATAGAAAAAACGGCGACTTTTATACATGAACAGATTGGTTAAACGCGGTTAAAAAAGTGGGCACAAAATCATAAAATAAAACCACTTGTACAAAAATATATAAAAACATTAAATTTTAATTTTTTGAATAAAACTATTGAATTGAACATATTCCAAATTAAAAACAGGTGTCGCTACTATTTTTACGGTAGAAAACTGAACCCAGTGCATGAAATGATCTTGACTAATAGATACTTGTTGATTCCATTCGTTTTTCAGCAGCTTTTTTTCTGGTATTTTTTTCAAGCATAGGTAAATTTCATATTCACTAATCACATTCCGTATTGTTCGGTATCTCCTGCAGCAATTATATTGACGTCGTAGTTCAGTTCCACGTGCTGCTTTTCGCTAAACTGGTCCAGTCTTCAATGTACGTGTCAATTCGAAAGAATTGTCAATTCAATTAGATCTAGAAGGCACGGTCTACATCACCACGTTTTAGGAGGAATTAACTCTTAATTACCAATGATAATGGTAAGTTTTATTAAACTTTAAAAATTTGGAAAAATACAAACGTGGTATGAGACTGGCTGGCGATATTAAAATATTTATACATCTAAAGATAAAGAAGAGCTTCTAAACTGTGATAAAAATTATTGAACAAAAAATTCTAAGGAAACACAAGACTGACATATGTTTGACGAGAATACTCATCAAACACAGTTAAATGTATCAATAATTTTTTAAAAATCAATATTTACCTGTCTTTTACATCAGCAAAAGCTCTAAGTTTATTCAACGCGTGCGCAGCAGCCGCTTGCGCCGCCTGTGCCTCCTGCGGCGTTATATTCTGTGGATTATGCGGGCCAACTCCTGCTGCTGTGGCAATATCGCTTTCACTAAGAGCTGTTCCCAAATTATATCCCTCCTTATGATGGGATGCGCACTTTGGAGCTCCATTTTGGGCCGTTGGATAAACGTACTGGTAGTTTGTGTATGGATATGGTGGTGGTGGAAGTTGGGCGCAGAAAAGACGACGGAAGTTCAACTCGAGAAGTTCCAATTGGGCACCTGCTAATTCTCGAAGTAGTTCAACGCTGACGTGCACGTAGTAGTCAGGTCTGACCCGGCGCAGAGCTGCTGTAGAGTCTCTAAGGTCTCTGCACGACGTCTTTGCAACTCGTACTGACTGAGTTAATTATAAAAATTAGAGGATAATATAAATATGCATTGCATCTATTTTATTTCTATTTAAAATTCTTACGTGTATATATCTTGTTCATAAAACGACAAAAAATCGTATAAATCACAAAGTGTCAATGCCAATGCTCATAATCTTCAGGGTGATCTCGTACGTTGTGATATCTTTTGGCAACTTTCACATTCGTATGTATGATTAAACAACGCTCTAGCAGCTGAGCCGAGTCTATAATTTCTGCAGGTATCTTGAAAGAAAATATATTCTTACAAAATGCTAGAAGTTAACTAAAAACTTAACCAAATAGTAAAAAGTGTTATGAACCGAATGAATGGTACACATCACTAGTATTATATTTTATTTGACTTTTTACCTTTCTCTCAATATTATGTATCCTCAACATTTCAAATATCAATTGCGGCTCTTGAGGTTGCTCACTTTCACCACTGGCCTTACCACTGGCAGCTTCAGGTTGCGCAGTGTTAGAGTTTTCAGCCTCGGAAGTTGCTGCCTGTGGTTGTTGTTTTGATTCTGCTTTCAGACCTAGTGGAAGACACATTCTACTGACTTTGTGTATAATATTACATAATAGTACAATTATATATTTTTAAAAGCAATTGGTGAAAGAAAGTAAGTGTAAATCATTTAGTGATATATTAACAATCAATATATTTATGTAAGGAAATTCCCCATTTGAACCCAAGGTTCAGATTGGTTATAAGAAACAAATAAAAAAAATCATTTAGTAGAATATATAATGCTGGTGTCGTAAGTAGCCAAAGTTGATTATTTGCTTTGGCATGTAAGTAAATATTTTAGTAAAGACCTCATAGACAGTCAGCCATTTCACGGATTATAAACTACAGAAGTTACATAATTTTGAAAACCTTTCCTAATACTAGGTTTATAGACTATATTAATTAGGCTTATAATTGATTAAAGAATTTCAAATTAATAGTAACTACAAAATCTTAAGCCTCTTGTTATTGTAACGATAAATTCCATTTTATTTACCTGTAGTACTTGCCCTGACTAAAGGTGGAATAGAACTGCTTAATTTCGTAATTTCATCTAATACATCTGCAACTATTCCCACTGGTGTTTTCTCGTAACTTCTGGATTTATCATTAGCTGATTTTTGACCAGGTTTTGTCATCAACGTATCATCGCTAGTTGTTGAAGTAGGAGACTGATTAGTTTTTGATTCTTGGTTAGATTTTGCAGTGGTTTTACCGGAATTATTCAATGCCTCTGCGGGTGGAGCTAAATAATTCATTCACATTCATTATAAAAAGCCATTTGAAAATAGTTTAATTTAAATATCTAAAGTTAATCATAAATTTTTATTTTATTTATTTATATTTTCTTATTAATAGGTGTGAAATGATGAATATGAATATATATATACCTTCTGCATTATGAATATTGGTCGACTGATAGGACATGATATCCTCTAAAACACTTGGATCATCTGAAAGGCCACAATCAGGAGTTGCATACATGCCAAATGCATCCAGGCTGTTGTGTGGAGCTATACTTAGACCAGAAATACGAGGTGGAGGCAAACTACTTCAGAGCAGGCTTCGCAACATCCAGGTATGACTGTAGCTATAGTAATTGATAAAAAAATAT